TGCTTGATTTATTTTCTCATGGCGATCATCTTTCCATGAGCTTTTTGAGAGTGATAATGAGGCCTTGTGATTCAAGAAGCAAAACATCCTTTTTCAACAGCTGAACATCATACTGGATGTTTCAAAGCCAAGTTTCTTCAAGAGCAGAGCATCTCTGCCTTGCTGGCTGCTGCTCCGGTACTAGGGTACTGCAACATCTCCAAAATAAACAGGATCAAAATCCTATTAGAGAAACTCACAGTATTCCCTGCCTTTAGAGATATATAAAGCTCGCCAGAGAAAAAGCTCGTCTGAAGCCTCAAGCTGTTGGGCTCTTTTTGGCTGACAGCTCAGTTTTGGAGCAGTGCCAAGCCAAAGCAGGAATACAAGTGGGGTAGCGGTGTTAAAAATGTAACTGACTGCACTAAGGAATGAAAAGTGTAAACTGCCCAGAGCTTTGAACATACCCTAGAGCCTTGTAGCTGGAGATTACAGCTCCCAGAGCCAAACCTGGGAAACACAGCACAGCACAAATCAAGACGCAGTGCTCGCGTATTTTGGTACAGACCTCAGTGTCTGAGCACCACCTGAGTCTTCATCTAAGGGCAATGCTGTCTAGAGGTTTGTCACGATAGAAGTTAGGGTGGCCTTGAGGCTGCTCTGTCCTGGATGCTCTAAGCACGTACCCTCCCTGCCCACACAGGGTCATCTCTAGCTCACAGACAGGAAGGAGAAACATCTGCTCTTGGGACAATCCCACAGCTGTTCCACTGGCTTCATGGTTACCTGGATGAATGCAATCTGTGGAGCCCATAGCAGATAGGTTTTGCCTACTGTGTCAGCATCTGATAATGATATAATCAGTAGTAAATTATCTGCTAACCAGAATTATTCCAAAGAACATATATTTCTGAGGAGCATATACGCTTTCCCCTTGTTTTACACAGTCTTAAACATTAACCTCAATTGCTCCTACAACATGCGTGTTTCATCATGATGGGTAAAGCTCCCATTACCGATATGCTCACTTTATAGCTCCCGAATGGTCTAATTACACATTAAAAGATTTCACTGCTGAACAGCTGCTTCAAAGTGTTTGAAATATAAAGGCTGTGAAGTTTTGTTTGGTGTTAGCAGAAGGTGCCAGACTGACAGCACTGCACAGTCCCTGTATGGAACAAGTGGAATAATACAGCTGTCATCCTGAGCATCACTTGCCGTCTTTGCATTGTGCTGGGGTTTATCTGTCGATGTAAAAGCACAAGGATGCTACGAACGTCCCACAGCCGACCTCTGGAAGGAGGCTGTGCACCATAAGGACTCTCGTGCTGACTTCAGCTGGAAGGTGTGCTTGGGGATTGCATGGTTTTCACTTAAGCCTTTTACTGCGCGAGTAATTACTACTGTTACTTATCTCTCCGGATTCTGATGCTACTGCAAAAAATCTGCTGCATAGTGCATTACACCCCAGATTTCCCCGTTCAGTTTTGCCAGCTTGGAAGAATGACACAAACTTACACATGGCTTATTCTGAAGGTTGTCTGGACTGTTTCAGCTAGTTGTGAGTTACACTGCGGAACCATGAGGTCAAAGCAGGTTGTCAATATGACCAAGTATCAATAAAACTCACTGCCTAGCCCATCCATAACGCTGCAGTGGGAGCAAAGTGCTACTGCAGGTTCTGAGGGGGGGTGTGGTGGGGTGGGGGTGGTGATGCCCACGGTGACGCTGACCATGAGGGCAGAGGTGCAGCTCTTCTACCTGCCAGAACAGCCTGCGGACAGGGCTGGGGAGGTGTCAGGGGGCATTTCTCACACTGAACCCTCTCAAGTTAGGGGAATAGCTTCCTTCTGGAAGGAACAATGAACTTCTGGAGACGATCTTTGTTTCACGCAGCAACACAATCACCTCAAAACTGCTGGTAGGTAATACCCTGCTACTCCTTGTGTTATTCATCTATTTCCTGGGCTCTACTTTCTTTTTTGATGACACTCTCTGAAGCTGTTAATATCACTCGGATCAATGCACAACTTACTAAACTGATTTAGCTTAACTTTTTTGCTTTTATACTCTTTTTGTAATTGGTTACTGTCAAAAACAATTTTCATTCTTTCTGCCAGTCAATATGCACTCTTAGGAATTAGCCCTTGCATAGAAGAGAAAATCCATTAAATAACTGATGTAAGCGCTTAGTAAGAAAGCCCCACAACGGCTGGAATTTACCTCCTGACCAAACCTCTGTAAAATCCACGTGCATGTTCACACAGCTAGTAAGTGCTCCATAATCCATGGTGGTACCATGTCTGCTTACATACTTTGTTAGGTCCCTGGTACCGTGTCCCTGGAAAAGAAACTCGGTAGCAAAGCTGCATCTCTTTTGTGGTGGTTGTTTTCAAGGGAAAAATTAGACTTTTCCCAGACTATCAGCAGAGCTTATAACAGACAAGTAGTGATAGTAGCTAATGTGTTCTGACAAGAAGTTCTCTGTTGAATGAAATCCAAGATGAATGCTATATAGAAAAACAATCCCAGGGAAGTATCTGCAGTAGGTTAGCTGGGTATTGGGAGAGGAGTGTTTCAGATTTAAGAGTAGTGTCAATAGAGGTTTTTTTTTTTCTCTTTTGTCACCTACATTTTTCCTAAAACACTGTAGCTGTTGCTTTATTCGGCTGTTGTAAATACAGGCTTCTTGTATGCTTCTGCACTTTAAGTTGACTGATTTCAGGGTTTCAGGTGATTTCAAAGTTACTGGGTAAGAGGGAGGCTCTCCTCACCTAGCAATGTGGCAGAGTAAGAAAAGGGATGGTGGGACAGTCCAGCAATTGTGCACTTCCCAGCATGTGCTCCTCAGGTACCGCGTGGAGCAGGTTGAGGGCTGGGATCCCTAGAATCAGGTGAGCTTTCCAGTGACACACAGATGGGCAGGAGTTCTGCTGAAGAGCCAACAGCTCTGGAGGACCTTGGAGTTTGTCACTGGGTTAGCAATATTTGTTCACTGAAAACTTTTGTTACTAATCCCACAACTTCTGTACCCTGAGAGACCTGTGGAGAAGGGAGTGCTGCACCCCTTTCATCATCATTTGTTATGAGGGCCTCTTTCCTATTAAGCCCATGGACTTTGAAATCATTCCTCCTATTTTTTTTTTTTTTTTCTAGGTTTACTTGTCTAATGCTGTGCCTTGGATCACATATAACTCAGTGGGAGGATTCCACATGACTTTCAGTGGGAGTGCATCAGGCCTGTTAATAACTGAATCTCTGACTCTCTCTTGATTAGTTCTTTATATGCAGATCATAGTATTAAAAAGCTGAGGGGGAAGATGAAAGATAATAATTTTGTAGCTATTTTTCAGTTAGCTTCCATGATGACAGGTTAGACAGCAATGAAAATACAAACTGCCTTCATTTGTCCCATCTGTTCCCATCCGGCCTGTCACTGTACGCCATGTGAGATACTACACTCTGCAAGTTCTTAGTTTTCAAGACCAAGGAATGAATGTTCTGGAGTGTTGTTCATCTGACGTTACATGAGGCTACAGAAATATTGATCATGTGCTTCACCATACACACAGCCAATAAAGGAGGAATTTTCAGCTGGAAGTATTTAATCCCACCAGTATCTGTGAGGCAGCTCTTCTGGTGGTCCTGGCTCTCAGCAACAACTTACTGCTGTAGCTTTTAGAAATGCAAATAGAAGGGAGACTCTAATGGAAAGTGACATTGAATTGGAGGCAGAGAGACACACACGTATCCTGGGCCTGATGGAGAAACATCTGGGTTTCAAAGCTGCTTGCTGAGTTCAGTGCCTGCTTACTGTAAGGAAGGGTAATCTGCACAAAGAATGGCTAAAAGCATGAAGGCAACTCTTCGAAAGCAATGTAAGGCTGCTGGAATCCCTGAGGTCATGCAGGGGGAATTCCTATACAAAAAATCAGTTGGTTCCATTGCAATAAGCCTTGTTGCTATTCTCTTGCTTGGTCCTGCTCAGCTGTGGACAAATGAGGAGAGTGGATGATAAACATCCGATAATCTTGGTGTTGATGTGCAGGGGAACAGGTGGGAGCCCTGGCTTGTCCTCTTACCAATATCAGCTCCAGGGACAGGTCCAGCATTTGGGAAGAGAAGATGTTCCACAATCTAAAAAAGGTGCAGTACGATGGCAGTTCCACTGCTGAGTGTATCAGGAGAGGACCTGGAATAGTCTGTCCGTTTGCTCGTCTCGCCTATGTTTCTGATTCAGGCTGCACAACTACCCACCACAAGAAAAAGTAACTTTTCTCAGTAATTAATTAAATATATTAGGAAACACCGGATATAGGATCCCATTTCTGGTTTAGAAGACTGAAAGGTTAACTAAGTCAGCTGAAGAGCAGAGTCTTTGGTTTGATATGGAAGACCTGGCATGGGGGAGGCTAGCGTTCCATGATGCTGCCCTGGATTTACCAGTGCCACCACAGTTGATCTCAGCTATTCTGGGATATTTTGGTCCCAGAGTTCTTGGATTTTGTGCCATGCCACAACCAAGCCAAATTTAAAACTGTGTATGTGTAAACCAGCAATCTTTTCCACAACGGTTAGTAGGAGACTGCTAGTGAAGCCGCTGTGTTCAGTTACTCTTGTAGCATTACAGAATGGTTTGGGTTGGAAGGAACCTTCATGATCATCTAGTTTCCATCCCCCTGCATTGGCAGGGATACCTTCCACTAGAAGATGTTACTACATGTTACTAAAGTTTTTCTGTTCACGTTAATAGGTATTTTGTTCATCAGACCTTATTCCCTATAATAGTAGCGAAAGCAGAGCTCCAGGCTGAATATGTTCTTTCTAAGCTACAGGTTGCTACTGCACACTGATATCTGTCACCGTGGTGTTTAGCTCTCTGACTACACTTTAGGTTAACGCATTGATTACTCTAGACATTAGATAAAAGATAGAGTTTATTTAGGATCGAATACTCATTTGTAAATGGAATATGCTACTTACTTTCCAAAGCCAATGACATATTGGTCTTGTTACAGATTTATCCAGAACACCTGAAAAAGAGCTAAACCGTAATTAGCCAAGACACTGTTTCCATATTACAACTTTATTATTCAACTCTTACTGACTTTCTGCAGCCACTTAACTCCATTCAACGTATTTCAAGGTCTACTGCTCATACTTAAATTCTCCATTAATCTCCTCCCATAATCCCTAATAAATTACTACGTGGGTTCCTACAAGGAAAGTATGTTCATCTCTGCTATGATGATTTAGGTGTGCAGTTGCTCTGTGGGATATGCTCCATTTTGTCTCCATTATCTCTAACACAGGAACTCGGTATTTCTGGGGGCCTTAGATTGAGCCCTGGCTTTCACAGTTTAAAAAACTGCTCAGCCCAAGTCACTGAACGGTCCCAATGTAGGCTACGCAAATCTTACTTTACTCGGAGCATAAGACAAAATGGAATCCATCACAACAGTTGGGAATAAAGTGCACACAAACACCAATGCTTTTTCCTTCAGCTTTGCTACTATGTGACGTGCCTTGGGTGCAGGAGATGTTAAAGCATCTACCATAGCATCTACAGCCTCGCTGCCATTAGTGCTTCCTTCGCTGAGTATGCTGTTGAAAAAGGTTGCCTGCTCCTGAACATACTCCTTATTGTAAACTGCCTTTCTCTCTTCACTGAGTTCATTCCAAATCTCTTTGGCACTGACTGGTGGCTGAATTATTGTAGAGCGTGCATAATTTCCCAGCTGAATAATACAGGCCTAAAAGCAAGATGTAAAATTTATCAAGATGCAATCAGTCATTCTGAATTCAATTAAATACTATAGTCAGTAAAACAGATCAAAAGCTTTCTGCAAACAGATTTCTTCCAGAAAATGTTGCTTTGTTGAAATTTTAACCTTGAAAACTCGACTGAAATCAAATATATTCCCATGAAATGTTTAAGACTGCAGAGGTGCTTTATTCTGACTTTCTCGTTTCACTGTGATGATAATGTTCTTGTTTTGACTACTCAGCATACCTTCACAGAACGCAGTAGTGCATCTTTGATTTTTATATAATGCCTAGTGATACAAATGTTTTGACAATACTAAGACAAAGCATTTCACTATGGCTTTGATGTCTCCAAAGTGGAATACTTTAGATTTTTCACTCAGTGGTGAATCTTGCAATTGGTAATTTTTGCCCCCAGTCTGGGACAAAAGGAGGGTGTCAGAGAGCATTAGAAGGTCCTGGAGAAGGAAGTGCTGTTTTCCCCAAGCAGGTGTAATTTAAAGGAAAGTAGATGTTGTTGGCCAAGTAAAGAGGGGACGAAAGGTCCTGGTCTAGCTCTCACTGAAGTAATTAAAAAATATCTGTAGATTTCTGTGCATGTAGATTTAAACTGAAAGCATGGAAATCCTTCACTGCTCCGCCTGTTTTCTTTGCCTGTGTTGTTGCTGCTGTTCTGCTAACTTCTGGGGAATTTCAGAGCAGGCTGGGTACTCACAGTATGCACGCTTTTCCTCAGTTAGCAGCAGGTTCATTAAAACTATTTGTAGATACGCAACATTAAAAACTCTGTGGCATTTACCTGACCTGATTTCTAAAGACTAAAACACCAGATAAGGAAAAACAGTGCTGAGCTGTGTCAGAGACTTGGGGATGTGACAGGCGTTCTCTAGGAAGTCTGTGGTAATATAAAACCTGAATGTCTTCAGTCTGCCACACAGAGCATCCACCAGAGGCTTCGCCCATGTGCGGGTACCGGCACGTGCCTCCTGTCAGTCGGCTCCCCTCGGCACACCGCGTACCGGGGGGCTGGGGTGCGGGACGTGGGGAGCAGGAGGGGTGCGGGACGTGGGGAGCAGGAGGGGTGCGGGACGTGGGGAGCAGGAGGGGTGCGGGACGTGGGGAGCAGGAGGGGTGCGGGTGAGTTCCGGCAGAGAGACAGGGTGCGTAGATGGGGGCATCTTCTGCTGCCTCAGGTAGGTGTCTCACAGGACACCTTTGGGAGCCCTCCCTTCGGGCGCTGTTTTCAAGTGCTTTGTATTAGCCAAACTAATGCCAATAGTAATCTTCCCACGTTTATTTTAATCAAAGGGGTTTTGAAAACTTCATACTTTGGAGTTTTTTTGGAGTTGGCGCGGAGAGAAGGAGAGATGATACTTCTTTTTTTCCCCTTCTTTGATTTTCAGTAGCCTTTCTAATGGAAGACACGTACTTTGTTTCCTTTAGGCAGCCAGCCTGCCTGGCTAGAGTTCAGTGGGACAGAGCCTTAGCTCCATCTGTTCCTTGCTACCTCTGGGCGACTTTCTCTGAAAGGACCAAGGGAATGACAGAGCAAGGCAGGGGAGCACAAAGAAGAGGGATTGTGTATTCTCCAGGCTCTCTGCAGAATAGGTTCTCAGGCAAATGCCAGCCAGAGTTTTGCATACAGTGAGAAACAGAAAACTAACTCTCATAGATACTCCAGAAATGTTTGTCAGCCTGGCTCACTGTGTTGTGTGCTGGGGCTGTTCCAGGGCTGAGGGAATGGTAAAAATCTCAAAATGACCAGAGTAGCTAACCTGTTGAACTAAGGTCTTCCATGCATTTGAGATTATCCTCTGCTAATTGGTTGAAATCCTCATCATGCTGTGTGGTATTAGGATGTGTAAAATCACTTGCATTTTATAGCATTTTATATTCATCCAAGAGGGGTAGTTAATAGTTGCATAGCTGTAATTTCTTCCGACACAAAGCTTATGAACAATACTGTAAATCTGTGTAGGTAATGAGTACACCAATGTAAATCCTCTAGGGAAGACTTGCAGTGTTTGAGAAGACCGTTTCAGCAGTGGAGTGACTTCAAGGAAAAAGCCTAGTGAAGCTACTTAGTAATCTGAACTTCAGGTTTGACTATCAATGTTGCTTAGACAGGGCACTAAGAGCATTCCTAGAGCCTCCTAGGTTAGAAGAATAAAAACGTAATTACTCTGCATGATACTGCCTCTTGCAGTGTAGCTGTTCCCATGAAAAGCAAGAAGCTTTTAAGCACTGATGTTGTGAGAGAAAAAAGAGAAAGAAGCCCTCAGGTAGGTGACAAGCCTTCCTTCTCGCTGCACAGCACTCAGCATCTGGGCTCTTTGCTTCCGCAGCCATGCCAGAGAAAGTTTCAATTACTTGGTACTGCTATAAGCTCTTCACAGAGCATGGCACTGCCCAGGCAGGCTTGTCTTGGAAAGTTTCTCCACTGCAGAGGATGTGGAGAAAGGGCGGAAGCTGCAGTGTTGGCACAAAGAGAAGACGTGCAATATACCCCCCAGCTTCTCAGAAATGCAAACATCACCCAGGTCTGCTGTTCCCAGTGATTTCCAGCTGACTGATTAACCACAGAGAAACCACCTCTTTCCAAGGGGAAGCTGCACCCATGGATTCAGCTCTGATCTTTGTCATTTGGATGCCTGGTGCTGACTTTGCACAAGATTAGATACTATTTTGCATACGCTTGTTCCCTTGGCCAAAATTTCCACCCCCGCCCCTAGGTCTGGTATCTTTGTGCAAGTTGTTTGCTTCTTTCCCCACAAAAAGATGCATTTCAGCTCCGTAGGAAGTTTCAGGAGTGAAGCTTCGCTCTTTCTCACACGAAAATCAATGTTAGAGATAGGAGGGAGTTTCACGCAACGGCTACTCATTACATCACTTACCTGGACACCAAACTTCTTCATTTCCAGTCTCAGAGCATCACAAAATTTCTCAGTAGCTGCCTTGGTCACAAAATAAATGCCGTTTCCTAGTGAAAAATAGGCAATATTGTTGGACATGAAGACAAAGAAAATAGTGCAAATAATATAACTTCACTTTCAGTCTTTAACATAGAATTGATTTACCCGAGTCTTCTGAACTGCTAATAACATGGTATTTATCATGATGCTGTCTTACTACATAGTATGCCAAAGCTGGGCCGTGTTAAGTGTGCAGTCCCAGCACAAAGGTGCATGCTGTTAAGCAGAGAACTTCACACAAAAATCCTCCTTCCATCTAGTGACAGATGCTGGACTAGACAAAGCATAACACATTCCCAACGTGCTGCTTATTCCTTCTGAGCCCGAGACAGGATGAAAGAGATGGAAACAAAGTAGTCCCCTAAAAGCTCTAGACTGAAAAATTGTAATAAAAAACTACGCTAGTAATAGGAGAAGGACTGCAGAGGAAAGGAGCAGATGATTTTCCCTGCAGTAGATATATGACTACTAATACCATTTTTTCTGCACTAATGATGTCTCTTGCACAGAGACCTGGCTTACAACTGTGCATATAAAGTCAAAATCAGACTGTTCAGTGATAAGCTTCACCAGAGAAAGGTGACTTGACAAAATATGGGCAGCCTTACATTGCTTTGCTGTAATTTCCCTGATCTGTGCCGCTTTTCCCCCCTTTGTAACTCTTGCCGAGTGCCGGCATGCCTTAAATAGGCATTTGAGGCACTGGGCTATGGTTCATTTCCATGGTTTACTGGTACACTTCTATCACATAGTCATACCACAGAGGAAGAAATGTGTGAATGTGGATATATAAATACCAGAGGTGAGCGAGAAGATGGCCTCGTCGCTAACAATACAGAGAACGTAGTTGCACTCCTCTTGCTGCCACAGATGCAGGTAACGTCTGGGCCCCAGATCAGACCAAATGGGATAGGCTTGTGGGATATCAAAAGGGTATCACGGGAACACAGTGAAATCTGTCATTCTGAATTAGGTTCCCTGCCTTCCTACACAGCCTCTGGAATAAGTCTTGTATACAATAACAGGAGAACAACTACCAGCTTGCTGATCAAGATGCTACATCAGCTAGCCTGGCCAGCTGGAAAAGTTACAGGGAAATGTTGCTCCTCTCAGGGTAGAATGCATAAATTCTAGGCTGGAGGGCAATAACTCCCTTTACAAGTATTAATAATCTTGCAGTTTTTCTTGGAGCAGGTGCTCATCCGAAAATGGCAGTAAGCCCCTTCCTTCAGAACACAGCTACTGGGTAAGTGATTGTAGGATGACCTCTGCCTGCTTTATCCAATTGATTTGGGGCACACACCCAGGATGTGGGACACGAGATTGAATTTCTCTTTACCTAAGGTATTTGAAACCCAGCTTTCTTAGGAGAATACTCTGACACCCATAATTCAAGCTTTTCATGTGGAGAGGTCACTCGCTGCCCCCAAAAACATGAGCTTTAGCTGTCCTGGCTGTTCCTGCAGGGAAGCAGCCAGGAAACCTAGGATTCTTCCTAGAAGTGCCCTGGCCTCCTCTCCTACATAGATGGGACTTGAAAAAGGAGTGTGGGCAGTTAATAAAGGCAGCATTGACAGCCAGGAGTGAGATGCAGAGTGATCCTTTGAGCTAAGGTACTATGTGTGTGCAGCCGTCCAGACCCAAATCTTCTGAAAGTTTATGCATGTGCTTAGTATCATAGACACGGTTAGTCCATTTTGCTTCAAAGTAACCCCTTGCAACTGGTGAAGTCAGACAAATGCTTCTGGTGGATCAGCATCACAGAGTTTTAGCAGTAAGTAGTAAGTACAGCATCACAGAAAAAAAGTGATGTCTCCCCATGTAATGGCCACATAATGCACTCACTGGGTATATGCAATAGCACATTCTTCTACAAAAACACACCTATCTTGCAGTATTTAAAAGTTTCTTTTTTGTGTGTGTCAGAATATCATCAACCAAAGGCAACCAAGCAGAAAGAAGCAGAGTAGCCAAAAAGGGGGAAGCTTTTAGCTTACCATTTTATGTAAGTGACATCTGGGGTCCCAAACGGAACCTAGCCCTTACTGTGCTTGATGCTGTACACACAGAGATCAAATCCTCACCTTAAAGAACTTAAAACTTCAATAGACAAGCTAAGCAAAAAGGGGGCGAAAGGAAAAGCATATCTTTGTTTCCCAGATAAGGGTAGTGACAGGTAGGGAACAAACTGCAAAGCAACTGAGACATGCTGCAATGCTCTAGAGGCCTATTTGAACCATTTCATCTCAGAAGAAAGGGTAAAGCCCACGCGTATGGAGCTCCATGCAAATTCATTTAACCCACTGGACACCCACGCATCTCTGTATGGCACTGTTGCACATACTGGAAGTTTCCTGCCCAAGGTCATAGAGAGGATCTGGCTAGGCCTGGAACTGAAAGGTGGATGTCTCTCGTTCACCTCTGTAGGGTCATCCTTCCTCTCCTAATTGCCAAACAGTGAAATAGTGAAGTCTGAATAATGAAGTTAAGCAGGAGTTTATTGGGTCTTTGTGTTTTCTGATCATCAGCGCTTACAAAGTCTTGCCTGGGCTTATTGATCTACTGTAGGCATTTTTTTTCTCTCTTTTTTGAGTCAAACACTGAGATAATTCATTATTTGTAAATACTTTTTCTATATATTGTAAAGACAGAATCTTTAAGGGTATTTTTTTTCCCATATGACTTTACCCTCTTTTCAGGATCAAGTTGCTCTTTCAGCCCACACAGAAGGAGGCTGTCATTTCAGTTCAATGAGAGACAAGTAAGGCTTCTTTTATAGATGCTACATTACACTGATTATAGTAAGATAGTTATTCTTCAACTCTAAATAACAGTGGATTAGCATTACCCTTGTATTTCTTTAGAAGGGAGAGAAACGCCAGGATTGTCCTGATGCTCCCAAGGAGATTCACATCTGGAAATTCTTCATATTTCTCCACAGACAGCCACCCTGTCTGGCCAAATGTTGATATTCCTGAACTGTTGACAAGCCTCCACAAACCTATGGAAGAGAAATATCTCAACAAGCATTTTTCACTGCAAAACAACTGCCATTAGGCAACAAAACTACACTAGTGATTTGAACCCCTGGAAACAACTTTTTAGTTGTGTTATCTTTTTGTCTTTTCTCCTTGTAGGTGCAGGCATGTTTTATTTAATGAAGGTATGTAATTATGGCCCTTGTCTGGACTATATAACTCTCAGTGCTATTTAATAATCACATACTTTATAGTCATCTTAAGTTATTTATGAATTACATGATCTGGGAGACTACATCTTACTGCCAATGAAGTGTACCATGATATTTTAATTACATTAATCCCACTGTGTGCTATGAACAGCGTTGTGAAAACTGTATTAAGCAGTATAAAGTCTAAGGGGTAATATTTTCACAGTGCCTGACCAATTTAGGAGCTTAGCTGGCTCCTTTTCCAGGATTTTGAGCTTCCATTCCTTCTGAAATCAGCCAGAATCAGGTACATGGGTGCAGCATTGCGTAAAGTAGCCAAGTAAGGTCCGTGGCTACCATATGGTTTTGATTTTGTACTCTTGAACAACTCTATTCTCCAAATAACAACAGGTTTTGGTGCTAAGTAGCTCAGCCCGCTGAAATGCAGGAATATTCTAGTGTTTACCAGCAGAAATTTATTGGCGGCAAAACTTGTTCTGACACAACTCTCTGCCAGAAAGTGCAAGCCCTTTAGCCCAGAGCCACAGAACGCTTTGTGTGAGCACCGTGCAACACTAATAATCTCGGCTGTTGGAAATGCTTTTTCATTGAAGTGTAGAGCGCTCGCAGTTTGGAGCTGACGTGCTGACTAAATGCTGATTAAGCCATGCTGACTTGTTCTGGCCTTCAGAACACATACCTGCAGATGCACAGTAAAGCAGTGAATGATACGGTCTTTTTGAAACCATTCCTGTTTCTGTCCTCAAATCCTGACGCAGGGTATTTCTAGGGTGACCAGCAGTGTAATTAAGAAGTACAGAGGGTAGCCTGACTGGCACTGAAATAGCTAAGTTTGCAGCCTGTCTCAGCCAGCCTTGACAATTTTTCCTATGCATTTTTTTTTTTAATAGTTCTTGTACATGTCTGAGGCAAGAGATTGTTTTGTCATGCCTTCTACACATCTCCAAGCCTAGGTTTCTGGTGAGGCAGAGGGGTAACAGTGCCTCTCTTCCTTCTTCTGGGCACAGGATCTGGGGCACGTGTGTGATGCTGACCCAGCTGGAGCCTCCTGTCCCCATGGTGGCAAAGATACCCTCAGGAGACCTTTGATCACCCTGGTGAAGGTGCTGCAGGAACCCTTGGGCTGAACTCCTTCTGATCTCTGACAAAGCCACTGCAATGCTTTCATGGTAACTTGGTCCTTCCAGAGCCTTGCCAAGAGCTGCTACTACAGGATTTCATTCACAACAATAGTTAAAGCCGAAACAGACAAATTTTTGCATTAGTTTGTAAAGCAGACCTCTGTAAGCTTTCCTAACCTATATACACTACTTGTACCATGTAATGAAACTGGTGTTTAAACTGAGAAAGAGGCAAAGTTCTTTCAGTGAATGTCTCATTTGCAGAGCAAAACACTCAAATTCAGGAATTTGCCACATAGAACTTAGATAACTCTCTCCTCCAAAGAGAATAAATCATTATTCAGTGGTCTGTCACACAACAATCTGTCCCCACACTGGACCTCTCTTGTAAATTTAGATACAGACTGACTGCTGTCCTATTACTGCAGCAGTTCCCTCCGTACTCACCTCTCTTCCACTGCCCCAAATGTTAGCGGACAGAAAAGAGGAAATGTACCAAAAATTGGCCACTGGAATTGGGCATCCTAGAATTCCTTCTTCCTCCTGCCATTGCCCTGTTGTTCCAGGCCTTTCTATCATTTTCTGGCTTTATTTCTCCTTCTTAAAATGGAACCAGCCACATGGGACTGGCATCCTTGTAAAACACTTCCAGATCAATGGATTAGAGAATCCTCTGTAAAAGCTAATTATCAATATTTCTGTACTTGCACATGATCTGAGTAGCTGTACACCCCATCTGTGTCTACTTAAGGCTGGAGGTCTCTGTACTCAGGTTTATTCTTACATAACCTAACTCAAACACAACACAAACTAAAGCCTGGCATCACTGTAGATGCTGTACCCTGATCTTTTCAGCTTTACCTTTTCTAATTAAAAAAACAAAACAAAACACAACAAAACAAAAACAAAACAAAACAAAACAAAACAAAAAAGTAATTTTGCTTCTGCCACCGCATCCTGCACAGCACAGCAACAACAGTTGCTCCACACCCCCCTGAATTCATCAGGGCTTCAGAAATACAGCCATTGAACTTTAGACAATTTATTTTCTTCCTCTTTCTCTAAACTGTGAAACACAGAATTGAGCCTGCAAGGCTTAAGTTTTCTCCAGCCATTTGCCTCATGTGCTTCAAAGACTCCAGGTGGTTAGTGGTGAGGCCAGCCTGTGTGTATAACAGGCAGAGTTTGCAGAATAATGGCTCCTTTCTGTGCAGTGGCCAAATCAAAAGTCAAGAGGAGAAAAAACAGCTTGAGTTAAACTGAAACAGACTTTTCTGAAGAGAATATGAAATAAAACATAAAGAGGTTTTGCTCAGGTTCAGGTCAAACCATTTTGTTTGCCGTCAAGTGAAACGTCTTGTTTCTTAGAACATTTTGGTATTCCTGAATGGGAAATGTTCTGATGTTTTCCAGAAATTTTCCTGCCACTTTGTTTAGTTGAATCAATTAGCAAAATTCTACCCAAATAACAAACAGTTCTTTATTCCCTTATACCACTTTTTCAGAAAATTTCCTACCTCCTGAGAAACAACTGACCCAGCTATGTACTCAAGTACTTGAATCTGCTTTGGTTTGCCTTTCCTGAAACGTTTGTGGCAAAAATCAGTGCTATAAACGTGCATACAAAATATACTGTATATTTACTTAGACAAATGCAGCTCGGGTAACTTGTGAAATACAGTCCTTAGATGGAAATCTAGAAGGGCAAAGCACAAGTAAGAATCGAACAGCTGAAGGAGAGAGACACTGCTTTTTCTCAGAGGGTCCATGCACAGACACGTTAGGAAAAAGCAGGTGATGTTTGATCTGGAAGGGAAAAATTACTCAGACTGTCAAAACAGAACTGAGTCCAGCACAGCTTAGGAAGAGAGGTGTTAGACAAGGCTATAGCAGGCAGGGAATAAATAAGCTGGAAAGCAGAACTGGATGTCAAAGAGATTTTCACTGATCTCCGTGTTGGGAAAATGGATCCTGAGGACAGAGATTAAAAGATATAGCTGGAGATCTAAAGGATCACTTTAGGAAACCTACCTTAAGATTAGTGAGACTTTCAGGAGAAGAATACTAGCTCTCACATAACCTTCCTGATAATTTCTACTTCAAGACATGTTGACCTAAAGGCACACATCCAAAGTCATTATTTAGGCCCAAAAGATGCCTGATGTTTTTCCAGGAAATCTTAAAAGTCCTTTTCCAAGTCAATTCAAGTCAATCAAACTGTGTGGTTGCAAAACCTTTTGAAAAATCAAGCCGTTTCTATGTAGATGCCTACATACAGATAATATCTGAATTCGGCCAGATTTTTTAAACTTGAACATGTATTCTTGGTATCACTGATCTTTGGAGTTTCTCATCTAAACCTAAGCCCATGCAAAAATGACAGGCTCTTTTCTGAAAGATTCCAGTCCAATACTGAAGGAAACTAGTGTGGTTTGTCAAATTGCTACTGAAAATTGAAGTGAGGAACCAAACCAATCTGTCTGTGGCAATGCAGGGCATCCACGGTTAGCAGGCCATCTGAGACTCCTGAGCTTTAGATCCGTACATTCATGAGTCACCATCTTTTGCTTGGAATATTATGCTGTGGTTGTCTTCATTGCAAGGATGAGTCTATTTGTATAGGAAGTCTGAGCAAAAATATGATACCAAGGACCTAATGGGTAGATTCCATGAATAGGAAACCTTGATTAAGTGGAAGAGAGTACTTAATAACTTTGGAGTAGGAGGTAGGACTGAAACTAACATCCCTCCCTTCCAGATGCCTGCATGTCACCCACTCACAAGAGACAAGGAAAGGAAGAGAAATTCCTGTTTTAAAGAGAAGAAAATCAGAAAAATACTGAGTCTTGCTGTAGCGCCTAAGAGAGTCACAAATCAACATGCTCCAAAGCCCTGGTCTACTTCATATTGGCTTTAATGTGAAAGTGCAAGAAGTTTCTTCTTTCTAAGCAACAGAGGATGCTAAATATTTTAGAGAGACATCTTAATGGGTGAACAAGCCATAAAAACAAATAAAGGCATCAGAGCCAGCAGATTTTCATGGAGGGACGGTTAGTTAGCTCTAGAGAATGAGCTATGTACCATGGAAATTGATTCACCATCCTTTTCAGATTGACATAATTTCACAGTCTAGAATAGAACAAATGTTTACAAGGAAACAAACTATGAAGTGACAGAATATCCATCTAGGTGTGTTACCAGTCATTTGGATTTCTACTCCTGCATAACAGAGAGAAAGAAGACAAGGTAGAGCTTGGGCTAGATATCTCCTGGTTATGGCATAACTAGAAGGTGCAGGGAGTAGTGTGTTTTATTCCTGAGATTTTATACATTTTTGGTACATTTATATTGAACAGTCTGCTTAAAGCTGAAAGTCTTTTATCTTTTAGTCTTTTATAAATCCACTTATCTTGGGCCCAGGAAAATGCCAGAGCACAGTATTCCTCCGTGACTTCCCTTGCCACCATCAACTGCTGAGCGAGGCTTCTTGGACTCATTCTCCCCAGAACCAGGACCTTCTCGTGCCTTTCCATGCAGTGAACCGAGTCGGTGGGAGAGTGTGACTCTCACGTTCAGTGGAGTCCACAACTAGGTGGTTAGGTCTTTCACTGGGACTCTAGGCAAAAAAATACAGGCTGTACAGTGTAGAACTGCAGCCTCTTCAACTTGGGTCTAGGTTTGAAGCAATTA